ACAATTCATGATGAGTGATGATCATTCAATTTTATTTATTTATTTATTTATTTTTCGTGTCCAGTGTTCGATACTTATATTAAAGTTCGATTATATTTAAATTGTGCATTACAGAGCTACTATCTAGTATTCTGCTGATATAAAAATTTCTTATATCGACCGTGTATATAACTTAAACTTGTTACATAAACTCAGAAAGATGACAATAAAGTAATTTTTCTGTTAAAATGATTGAAATATCCTTAAAACTATTTACAATAAATATAAATCTAAGATCATTTAGGAAGAATATTTTGTAACTTACAAAATATATTAGGCATAAAAGATCTTAAAATATTTACTCAAACCAAAAATAATGTTTACAAGTTTTGAAATCATAAGTTAAGGATGAAGGTGACCGGCTTATATTACACTCCCTCCATTTCTATTTATATCATCATTTTTTATTTCACGTTCCTTAAGAGATTAGATAAGTTTATCATTGTATCCTTATTTAGTGTTTTCTTGAGGTCAAGTTTTCAATAAATGAACATAATTCAATTTATTTTGATTAATTAAATTGGCCAATGAAGATGAATTAATAATTTAGTTTTCCTATATTGGTCAAATTCATATTGTCAATGCTAAAATATTCTTTAAGTATTAATGAACATCTATTTTTAGTAAGGACAACGTGTAAATAGGAACATAGAGAAATTATTATTATTTTTTGGCTTATTTTAACTTAGAAGCACTTTGCCTAAACATCCTCTATTTATTAATTTGAGCAAAAGACAAAATGGAGTAAAAAGTTAAGTGTATAGGATTTGGTCCATTTGAGGAAACATTAGTAGCAGAATGGATCTTCAGAGTTGTTGTGAGTAAAATACATTTATTTCACTTTGCATTTATGGCCTATTTTTGTATATAGAGGCTACAGGGTAAATAGGGGTGTCATCGTATATATATAGGGACATGTCCAAATGGTTCAATGGATATGGGCGTGCTCTATAAGTTAAAGCAACCCAAATGCCGCCTTGGGCGACAACAAAGTTCAGAATTTCAACTTTATAAATTTTGAATGAGTTTGAGAGAGAGACTCAAAACGAGATAACACAAAAATAGATTGAATAAAGTTTGATGTACAACAATTTTCTATATAAATGTCCTTTTTCCCTTATGTTATCTTTTCAATTTCATAATTTAAATTCATACAAATCATAGCTAACGGCCAAAAATAATTTGATAGTGAAAGATGCAGGGTTATTCAGTAATAGTATCATTCCCAAGTCTAAAAGAACAACACTACAACTCTACTAGATAGAAAATTCACTCTCATCTTTTTCTTGCTTTTTATTTATTTTATTCTAATAAATTATACTACAAAAGAAAAAAGAAAAAAAATTACAATTCCACCATATTCCTGTCTTTCACAAGAAAAAAAAGAAGTGTTTTTGGTTTTATTTTTTATTTAATGTCCCTACTCCCACTGCAAAATAGCAACTTGGCTAGTGTAGTTTTAGTTGGAGTGCAAGCATAAAAAAGCTGCCAATTCTTGGAATTTTACTTTCCCCACATGTAAATTGTAATTGGGATGATGATTTGACACACTTGAAAGTCCACCCTTTTCCAATAATATTGAGAATCTTTCTGCTTTCTGGTGTTCTTGGGAACCTTGATTCTGTTTTACAAATTACAATTTATTCTGCAATTATGTTGAATTTTAGGTACAATAAGTAATGTTATCATGTAGATTATATGAATCTTTTCGTGTTGCTTCATTTCCGTCCAATATTCTACTTGACTGTTTGAAAAAAGATACTCAAATTAAACCATCCATTATGGTTTATTACAAAGTTAGGTCCAAACAATTTGACAATTGGGCTTTGGTGAGCCAGACAAAAAGTTTTGGCCCACACCCTGAAAGAATTTCACAAGGGTATATAACGAAATAGACCAAATATATTTGATATGGAGTGCAATAGAACTTAGCTTAAAGTTAAAACATAAAACTTCATTGTTCAGCAATATTCAAAAAATGACCAAAACAACCACCCATCTAAAGTGCACCAGAGGGGATCCCATGTTGGACATGAAAGTAAAATATTACACAGCACAAAAAAGTGTTACTATTTCTGTCTGAGGCCTCGCGTCGTACTCAGATGTGATCATCAATTATAAATATTCTACCAAAAAACATTGCCAATTTGGATAGTCATCAAGCACAGAGGCTGTTTTACATTCCAGGCAATTATCTAGCATTTAGTCTTTTATACTACCGTGTTTTGATTTACAGAATCTTTGAGAAGAACAGCATCATATATGCAGAAGGCACTAATACAAATCACTTACATTAGCCTTGGCCCTTGAGGTATCATGCCTTGATGTCTTACAACCATTTCCTCCGACTGGCTGACTTTTTGTCACCAGACATGAATCTAGGTAGACTAAGAAGGCTATTAACCCTGGTAACTCCCTCGAGGGCTGACCATTCCTGATCTTCTGCAGTTGAAAGGCACTCGGCTAGGCTTCTCGTAGAATGTCCAAGACCCTTATCCGCTAGCTGTTCTTCTATTGACTCGTCAACAGGGACTATCTCACTGGCATCTTTTGTAGTAACTGAATGTTCACGAACTGCAATATGAGAAGCATTCCTATCTGCATTTTCAAGGTTGCCATCAGTAATAATTGTTTTAATTTCCACTTCAGGAGCCTTTGTCAAATCATGTTGCGTCGCTGTGACTACAGAATCAGGTGCAGGTACACGGTCCAGGAAAAGGCATACTACAGCACAGTCATCAGTCTTTGATGTCGGGTACTTCAGCCTCCAAGCTCTTGTCGCGCAGTCAACAAGAGCTCGGGCAGCTGTAGCGCGACTTGGGGCTGAGGCCACAATATCCACGGCTTCCTTATTAGAAAGGACATCCCAAACCTACATAGAACAAGAAATTACATTATGACAAATCTAAGTGTTAACAAATGGAAACAGATTAAGCCAAGTCATAAAGAGGGTGAAATTTAGTCTGCGTTTCTATAGAGATGATATAGAATTTTCTTTTTTTGTAGTGAAATAATGTTAGGTGAAATAATTACCCCATCAGTTGCTAGAACAACAAATTCATTCCTATCAGTAATGCGGTGGTAATACACATCAGGGACAGAAATTAACCCAAAATCTTTGAGACAAAAATCACCAAATGCTCTGGCCATTGCCAAGCCAGGAGAGTCGCTGTTCGGCAACCATACACGTGCAACCTCTGGCTCATCTTGCAATGCAAAAACCCTGCCTTTGTATTTATGTATTCTAGCAGCTTCTTCTACAAGACAAAACAATTGAAAAAATAAATTTAAGCACTTTCTTCAAGAAAAAAAGACAATTACATTTCAGCTTCTCGGTGTAATGTATTGAATCAAGAAGAGAGAGAGAGACTTGGAAGATTAGGCTTCAAATCTACTGTCAACTGTACAGCCATTAAATAGTTGTCTTTATCTCTAGTTGCCAATACTGCTCTTGAGTCACCAACATTACCAACTATTATATCCTGGCCCTGAGACACCACAAAAAGATCAGTTAAAAAGCTTTTGGGATGCTAAGCAATTAGAAAAGAGCTAGAATAACCAAATATGTGGCAGACTCATATTCAACCACTCCCACTCAGACTTAATAATTTTCTACTTTTAGTCTGTTTCAACATCATGTACAAGTCAAGTGAGAAGTAATAAGAATTTTTTTTAAAGTATAACTATTAAATAAATACATTTTAGAACAAGAAGATATCTTGCTAAATTTAAATTCAGTTAACTACCAGAAAAAGACAAATATTACAAAACATCCGGTAGATTGAGAGGGCAGTCGGTAGAGAACTCGGATGCACAAAATTTTATTATCTGAATGGATTTTACACAATCCATAAATGAACTGTATCAGGTTTTCATTTTTGATGTAACCCATTTAGTAGTATAGGCAAGGTCATCAAAAGTGATAATCCTTCAAAAGCAAAGACAATGACTAGCCAATATCAGGTTTTCATATTTGATGTAACCCATTTAGTAGTATAGGCAAGGTCATCAAAAGTGATAATCCTTCAAAAGCAAAGACAATGACTAGCCAATATCAGGTTTCATATTTAGATGTAACCCATTTTAGTAGTATAGGCAAGGTCATCAAAGTGATAATCCTTCAAAAGCAAAGACAATGACTAGCCAATGACTGGCAATTCAAAAATAGCTCACTTATTGCCTCCAGGGATTTGATCTAGGGGTAAGCATGCGGCGTGTGATGTTTTGTGTTAGGCGCAAGTCATGAATTCGGACCCTGCACCACTGGTCCTCGGGAACTTATTGGCTATAAGAAAAAAGTAGCTCACTAATTTGCTTCTATAATTACAGTATACCCATTTATAAGCACCCAAATATTATAAAAAAAATTATCAGTAAGCACCCAATTTTTTTTGAAACATTAGGCTTTAGGAAAATAAACCTCGTTTATACAAAATAGCTAAATTATTACCTGCATCACCAAGGAAACAGCAGTTGATCCACTACAGAAACAATCAATAGTAGGGTGCAACTTGAGTTCTTTATCCATCGACCGGAAAGCTTTTAACATTGATCTTTTAAGGGGAAGATGTATTTCTGGGAACTTTTCGTTGCTCTCAGCTTCCATAGCTTCAATCAAATCATCATCCAAGACATCATCAAGATGTGAACCTCCATTGGTATTTCCGTTCTCAGAAGTATTACTTTGATCACCACTGGATTTAACTTGCCACTCTGAACACAGGAGAAACGGAAGAGTATCTCGAACTTTCCTTGCCACCATGTGGCCATAGGGACCGTGTCCATCAAATACTCCGCAAAATATTGTATCACTTCGCGAGCAAAAATTCTATTGAAGAAACATTCCAACCAAGTCATAAACTGACCCAATATAAGAACAAATTAACTCTTTGTTTTGACAAGTAATGGAGTTAATGAAATTGCACTATACAATAACTACACTTCCATAGGACTCAAAAATTTCGATGCAAAACTGGAATAGTTAATTGGGTGAAGGAAGCTTCAGAAACAAGAGCTACGCAAGTTATTTTGACAGTCCATCTACCATAATTGATGGTTGAAAGGATCATAGATATGACCCTATGCATAAGTAAACGTCATTCTACACACTCAAAACTCACATGATTCATAATTAAACTTATACCGGCCATCAATCCACCACAAAACCTCCTCATTTACCAGTCCATGGAACTGGCTATGTGATAGATAATTAAAAGGTTCAATTTTTAGATATAAATATGCTCCTACATGCACAAAATGATTGAGGATTTGGTTACTCATTTGACATAGAGACATTCAATGCAAAGAAAAACATAAGGCAGAAAACAAAAAATTCGGATGATTCATAATTCAACTTGCACACAGGACATCAATCCACTACAACCCCCCTCATTTATCGGGCCTTGGAACCCTATGTGATAGATAATTAAAAGGTTCAATTTTTAGATATCTAAGCTCCTATATAAGCACACAATAATTGAGGATTTGGTTACTTATATGACATAGAGCCATTCAACGCAGAGAAAACACAAAATTCAGATGATTCATTGCACACCCGCCATCAACCTACCACAACCCTCTTCATTTATCCGGCCAGGGAACCAGCTATGCACAGATAATGAAAAGGTTCAATTTTTAGATATCTAAGCTCACATATGCACAAAAAGATTGATGATTTGGTTGCTCATGACATAAGCAGAAAAACACAAAAATTAATTAGAGAAACAGAGAATTGAGGACCTCCCAAACGATCATGGCATCTTGATTCGTTCCTTTTTTCCCTTGCTGAGTGTGTAGGCAAGCACGGGAGGAGGCTCCATTCCCCAAAATCCTTCCGGGAATATGATGCAGCCCCTTGTCCTCACCCCCTCCTCCACCAACACCACTTAACTTGCTCAAAAATGAGCTGAAATCGCCACTGTAACTGTTCTTCTTCAACTTGGAATCAAACCTTCTGCTGTCATTCTTACCATCCCACAACCCATCATCGCTCTTGCTTTTACTTGAAGAGTAACAAATTCCCATTCCCCCTTAAAAATCTGCGATTCTCTCTCTGAGGAAATTTATCAAACACCTTGTATTCACGGAAGAATTAAACAAATGCGTTTCCTGCCAGAATTCACTGAGATTCAGCTCTTTATCGCCCCGATTAACAAAGAAAAAATTGAAATTACTAAGAAATGAAACAACACTCGAAGAATTCAGTACTGAGACAAGGAAATTGATGGATCCAAAAGATTGAAGCTGAAAACCCTAAAGATTACAAAGAAAAATAATTGCAGAAAGTGATAGAGAGATTCAGATATAATAAAAGAAAAGATAGTAGTAATAATAATCAGGTGAGGATGAGTAGCTTCCAATTTATGACTAGTAGTACTACTATTTCTCATATTTTTACTTTTATTTTATAACGCATCTATCTCAATTTATATGATATCATGATATTAAAGATCATTTAATAGGATGTATTCGACAAAACTAAAAAATAATATATAGATTAAATTTGTGTATTATTAATATTGTGTGTGGTTATATTAGGCAGGTATTAATTATGTCATGCATATTAATAGAGTATATGGCAAATAATAGAATTAGCAATGCATCGAACTTTCAAGGCATACATTAAAGACTTAATTGTCACTCAAAATATTTCTATATATGCTTTTCATCATATTTATGGAAGTTGTTATTATAAAAAAAAAAAAAATTTAAGCAATGCATTCAACCATACTACCATACGATCTCGATTAATTAATTAATTATATGATACGTATTGATTAACGTTGGTCGTGTGCGGTGAATTGAATTAAATGCAATTGCAAGTTGACTATATTGTACGTCGGCTCCCTAAGTCCCACGCGGCTACGCCATTTCTCTTTAAGGTCAATAATGCCAATTTAAAAGTTGCCCTCTTGCTTTGACAATTTGCTTTGGAACCTTCTTTTACACTCTCACGCTTTACCTCCTATACTTTTGAAAACATTGATTTTTAGTCCCTTTAGAACCTTTTTTTTCAAATAATTATGGAGTTCGAGTTAACTTGTATACATCTCAATTAATTGTATGAACTATATATTATATCTCACTAGCATAAATACTTGATTATTTTATCTATTAAGATTTGATATTTTTACTTTAGCTGAAAGTCATTGAAGATGGAAAAATTAGAAAAAGGAACAAAATGTATGTCGCCTTTAGTTAAACGAACTAGTAATATTAGAATAGTGTATTTTTTTTTACCTTATTCGCATATACTATAATAAGAAATTAGTGACTGTCTTAAAAGGGAGTCCAAGAACAGCTTGATCACTTACCTTTTAAAGACTTGTAACTTTGGGTTTTTTCTTTCTTAATATTGTCACTTCTATCAACTTAGTTAACATATTATGCCTATTATAATTTATTCTAATGAGAACTTAATGCAATCTCAATCAACTAGTTAAAAGATAGTAAAGGGAGAGTGATAAATTAAATGAAACTTATATATGGGGTGGTGGCCATGGGGGACCAATATGTTGTAGTCAACATGTGGGAGACCCTCCAATTTATTACTCCAAGAGAAACATCTAGAGGTTCAACAATCTCAATTTTAACAAAAAATCATTTCCAAAATGGCAAATTATGTTTTTTTTAATTAAATTATAAATAAAATATTAAAAGATGTAAAATGGTTGTTTTAATTTAAATTATAAACAGATATAAACGATTATTTACTCTAAAGTTTAAACCTCCTCAAGATCACATGTGACAATTTAAAATTAAAGAAATACGTATGTGTGTTTTTATTCATGAAATGGATACAATTTATGACTTGTGTAATTTTTCAACAAGCTTTCTATGTAACTGAGATTTGACTTTTTACTATGTAAATGGAATAATGTATAAACTATAAAGTAGGTGAATTATAGGTAAAGTAGCTAAAGTTATAACATCATCTCCTACTAAGAGCTTTTGATAAATAGAATCTTTTAAAAGCCACATCTTGAACAAAGAGCTGAGAATCCAATGCTACAATTCTCTTGTGCCCTTTAAATATGATATTATTAAGTATTTTTATCTATAAAGGTATGATTTAGTATTTGGGATAATAATTTAATCCCTCAATTATTGGTAAGTTTATTTTAATTTTTGCGATATATGATACAACATATTGTTAACTTAAATATGTTGTATCATGTATCACAAAAAAAAAAAAAAAATTTATAATAATTGAGGGATCAAGTTACCATCCCAAATACCAAATCTATAGATAAAATTAGTTAGTGCCGTTTGGATTAACTTATTTTTAGATGTTTTTGACTTTTAAGTAGTTTTTTAGTTTTGGAGGTGTTTGGAAAGATTATAAAGTGTTTTTAAGTTTTAAGCACCCACTTTTGGTAATAATAAAAAAAAAAAATTGAAAAGTAGAATATCATCTACTTATGATTTTTAACTTTTAACTTATAAATTACTTTTTATAAGTCAACCAAACATGCTCTAATATCATATTTAAAGGGGACGAGAGAATTGTCAGCTCTTTGTTGAAGATGGAGCTTTTAAAACTTTAGCTACTTTTACCAATAATCCACCTACTTTATACATTATTCCAATTCCCAGTTATGAGGATTTTGAGTTATTTGAACTCGTCTCCATATCGATGCTCAATACTACTCTCAAAATATAACTTAGCTCGTATGTTTAAAAACATTTCCTCATCCTCAAGATTGAGATTATTACTTAAAATATTTCTCTTAAAAGAGATAGTACTCAAAACTCCTCATAACTCATTTGGAAATCAAAGTTTCCTCCTCATCTTAAATGTAAAAACATTTACTCTTGGGAATACTTAGTTCCCATATATTCATTTTGAAAATGAAACTCAACTTTACTCATCCTCATACTCAGGTACTCAAGTCTTAAAATAAGTTTTGAAAGATTGTAAAAGACTTCTCAAAATGACTTGAAAGAACTCTCAAGACTTAACTCTTATTTCTACCTTGAATTTGAATTATGAATTCAAGGTTATGATTCATGTTAAGGATGATCTCTCGATGTTTAGATGTACTTTAGAGTAGTTAGAATCAATAGGGAGTAAATGTGTACTTTAAAAAGACTTAGACGGAGTAAATGGCGGAAAAAGGGTGGGGGCAGGCGACCCTGACGCATTGCTGGCGCGCCGCCCTAGACCCTCTGGCGCATCTGGGGAGCGCCACCTCTCCCCCAGAACTTTTCGACGAATTTTTCTTCTCATTTTCTGACCCTAACTCGTCAAGAATCAATTTCTTTTCTCAAATTTTCCTTAGATTCAGTTACCTAATACAAGTACACGAAAATCTACTCAAAAACAACTCTCAAACTTATACTTTTATCTCAAGAACTCATCAAACCCATCCTAATTCAAGAACGAAAGTAATACTTCAAGAACACTTATCAAGAACTCAACATTCTAAATCTTATGGATGAAATTCGAATATGTAAATCATGATTGGCGTGTGGGTGAACGAACCCAACACTACGAAAACTTACATATCTTAATTTGGCAAAAATCCTCGACAAATCTCACGAATTCTGACGAACGCCTTGAACCTTTCCTCTTTTCTCCTTTTTTCGCTTCTTGAACTCTCCTCTAAAACCCTAACCATAAATTAGGATTTGTAAAACTGACCCCAATCATATTTGACCCCAAAATATTTACTAAAAATGTTTTAATCTGAAGGGGTAAGAAAAAGACCAAAATACCCCTCATAATTTCGAGTAACTTTCCTTAACTGGACAAGCTGACTTCAAACGAGAATATCTCCCTCATTCGAACTCGAAACTTAGCAAACTCGGTGGCGTTGGAAAGAGGATTCCAAAATACCCCTCATTATTAGTGTAGTATTAACATGAAATCAACATAAGAACTAGAAACCCATAAACTTCAAATGACAATCCATTAGAGTAACTTACTTCGTATGCCACCTTTCTATAACTACAAGTCTACAACAACATACCCAGTGTAATCCTACAAAGTGAGATCTAGAAAGGGTTGGTGTATATAGATCCCTTTCTTTGTTACTAGTATACGATTTCTTTTTTTATTTTTTCAAAATCCACAAGTTCTCCCCTAGATTTGGGAATTGCCCAATAACATATCAGGTGTGCTTTTTCTGTAAAATGTTGTATGACATATTTGGGCCAATACCAACTTTTGATCTCTCGCATAAACGACCAATACATTATTTTCATGGCCTGTTATTAGGGAAACTTTACTTTTTTTTAAAAATCTATTTGACTTCACAAATCGTGATATTTGTAATTCTTTTTGCAGGAGAATAATATAATTTATCGTTGGGATGCTCATCGAGTGTTTTTTATATTTTTGAGCTTGTTGTTTAGATATTATATTAGCTTAGCTTTGTTGTTGATTCATCCTTTTTTAGATAGGGTTGTTTCAAAAATGGACCATTTAAGGCCCAAAGAAAGGTGACATCTGAAAGGCCCACCAATTAAATCAAAGATCAATAATGGTGTTACATTTAGTAAATTCAGTCTATAACTATAAACGTAGCATTTAGTAGAAGATTTGTGTCAATTGATTTTCTTACCCAATATAATTTATTTTTTTAAAATAAATCAAAATTTCTATAGAGTTTCTATTTTTACACATAAATAGTAATAACAAAATATACAAAACAAAAAAGAAATATTGAAAGTTTACTTGCACAAATAATTTTGTCGTCCACGATGGAGTGGTAGAGGTGTAGGGCTTAGCCTTATAATGAGTTGAACGTTGCTCATACGCATACAATGGAGGCCTTCCCAACTTATCCCATATGTTACCACATTTTGTTTTCTTTTCTAACCACATTTTTTTTCTTTTTTTAACCTTTAAGAGACCATTTTTTGGGCCAATCTACAACCCAACTCCATTCTCGCCAAATTCAGCAAACCACCCGACCCAATACCCAGCCCACTCTTCTTTACAAAAAGAAACCCAAAAGCAAATGGCGTGCGTACAATCGTCAAGATAGACGACCATACAGACCAAAAACAACAATTTCCACTCACGGCATCTTCACAGAACTCCAACGTCTCAATAGTACATTATTAATACAACAATTTTAGTAAAGCAGTGCACTCATAGCTTCTTCCGAAAGAAATATTTTCGTCTTCATTTCTTGAGTTAGAAAGAATGGATGAAGTATTTACATTGGTTCACCAAAATCTAATCAAATCACAAGCTCATAGGCTTGAACAAGCAGTGAAATGTAACACATTGGCAACTAAATTTGTTATCGGAACCGGAAAAGTCAGTGTTGATATTTATTGTAGGTTAGATTTTATTTTTGTATCTGATTTTTGTTTATTTTCAGGCCTATTAT